ATGCAGATCAATCAGAATTCAGCTATATGTATTTTTAGCCTTACTAAAGTTGATGTTATTGACCACAGTCATCTTGAATGAGATATTACAAAGAATGATAAAAGGGGCTAGCATTCCCTTCTCTAAACCTTGGTGGAGAACTTCTTGGGTTACTTGAATCTGTGGACAAAGAGGGGGAAGGTGCCATGGGGGGTACTGATATTGGTTGAAATGACCTGTGGTTTCCCTCCCACAAGGTGTAATTAGATGGAGGAACAAAATTTGAGGCAGGCATAGAAAGACCTTGGTTAATACCACTTGCGGGAACACAATCCCCATGATGATGACTAGCTAATCCATACTGTGTCTGTGGGCTAGGGTTGGAATGTGTTAAAAGCATTTGGAAAAGTTTGACCTCATGCTCTCTTGATTTCTCAATATCTGATTTTAAGAATTGCATGAGCTGTTTTGTGGGGTCATTTTCAATTGCACTCCTCATTAAGTGAATGGCTTCAACCAATGGGTCTTCTTTTTTCAGTTTCTTGGTTGGAGCTGATTTCACAGGCACAAACTGTTTACCAGCACAGCCTTGGGAAGCTCCACTATTGCCCTCATTATCTGTTGACTGATTTACGTCCTCTCTTGATGATGGCTCTACAGCTAGTTCTGGTCTACAAGAGTCACGTGTTTTGACCACTTCAAACAACTGATTGAACCAGGTACTGTAACCTTTGTCATCTTGGAATCGTTTCACCCCAGTGGAAGTTTTGGTGGTCAAAGCTACACGCTTACATTCTGCAACAAGCTTTTTAAATTTTGATCTAAGTTGTGGTACAGTAAAGGAGACATTTTCATTCCTAGACTTGCATCTCTTCTTAAGTTCAGCAAGTACCTCAGCATAGATCTGACCATTTTTCTGAGTTTTAACATTAGTGAATATAAGTTTTTTCTTGTAATAATCACTGCTTATTATGATATCTATAATATCATCTTACAGGTACTGAGACCATTTTGCCTTTCTGCCTGCTTTCTTTGCCTTTTTGTCAGCATTCTCATAAATGGAGTCCTCCCCATCTCCATCCTCATCCTCATTTTCATCTTCTTCACCATCACTCTCATAGGACATCTCTTCTGGCTCCTTATGAGCAGCACTATGTGATCAAGAAGCCAAAATTATTATTAAACCATTAGCAATAGTAACTGTCATTTTTGGCCTTCTCAAACAGATAGGTCTTTCTCTCAACGATATAACAAACCTATGGTACATCACTCTTTCTAATTTATAAATCATATTCATAAGCAGTTTTTTAGTGGGCGCCAATCTCTAAAACATAATACTAGATTCAAGATTTCAACAAAATAAAAACAAAGAGGTATCAAGAAATCACTGAAGACCACACAATCAGCAATAATCAATACATAATGATCAATCAACAATGACTAGTCATGATTTCAGTGATAAACAATCTTCTACATAGGTCTCCATAGACAACATTATCAACAAGAAATAGTGTTCATCGTTGATCAATAATTAGTTATACTAGATATATGACAGGCTTTGTATCAATAGAATCACAGGGTAATGTGAGGGGTATATTAATATCCATTATTAGTATCACCCAACTAGTGGACTAATGCAAATCCTGTATTTTAATTGGCTACGCTACTAGAGGACTATTAGTAATAGTCCTCGCGTAGCGAGATTGGCGCAATCAAACACAACGCTTTCTTTCGTTTTATTCCCAAATGAATATTTCTTCAACTTGCATTTGCTAACTTTATTTTTGCCTTTTCTGTCCGACTAGTTGGGTGATACTAAAACAATTGGACCCTTTGCCCTCAAGGGCCATGGGTCAATAGCCCATTTGGGTTCGCCTCATGGACTATTGAGCCGTAGCCCTTGCGGGCTACGGGTCTAATTGTTGAAGAGTCCACCCCCACCCTCCCTCCCTCCCCCCTTTTCACCGCTTAACTCGAGCGCTAACAATTGCTTGAAATATTCTTCATTTAGCTTTTCATTTTAGCCCTTCACTTTTCAAAAGTACTAAGTTGAATTGCATCGTACAAACACCCATTTAAACGAGTCAATTCAACAGGTCAGCATAAAGTTGATGAACGGTCAAAAACATTACTCACCAGCCCATGGTCTCACTTTTGTCTTTTTCGTTGTTGTTTATTTTCTCTCCTCGTCCGCTATTTGTTGTCTCCCCTCGTCCGCTGCTTGTTGTCTCTCCTAGTCCGCTCCTTGTTGTCTCTCCTAGTCCGCTTTTTGTTTTCATTCCTTGTCCGCTGTTTGCTTTCTCTTCTTGTCCGTTGTTTGTACTGGCTCCTTCTTCCTTCTCACAAGCGATGCAATATCCCACGGACTTTCCGGTTACCCAGCCAGGGGTTTCCTCGTCGTCCTTAAACACCGAGCAACGGTTACAAACAGAGTGGCCACATTTTATGCAGCAATATTTTGTCGTCGCAAAACACGAATAACACATGTCCTCGTCTGGAACGACCGAGAACTTTTTCCGCCAAACCGCCATTTTTTCCCACTCTGATGCGCATGCTTAAAGCGACAGAAGGGGGTTGTGGGATCAAAAAATGTATTATAATAATTTATGCATTAGGTTCGGTACATGAAAAGTTCGACGTTTGAATCGGAGTCGCTCCGTAGTCAAACTGACCGACTGGCCATGTCAAACTTAATTCTCGGGTCGACCCAAATAACATCTGCCGAACTTAATTGATTCAAACGTCGATCTCGTCATGTACTTAATTGGGGCTATTAGGTTCGGCTCATGAAAAGTTCGACGTTTGAACCGGGCCTAAGCGTCACGAACACTTCTGCCAAGTCACTCCTGTTTTCGAACCAAAAGAGGATCCAGGCCCGTCTCCTGCTCAGCGTCCGTTACCACCCTCTAATTCCAGTCACTCCGCATCTGTTCAGGTAGACCCAGACAACATCCTACCTCAGGCCATCACGGCCAATTTCCAATCCCTGCTTAGAGAGTACGACTCCGTATTTGACCCCCAGTTCCCTGGTTACAATGGATCTGCTGGCCCTTACCAAGCACAGGTCAACATGGGCCCTGTTGAGCCACCACAGCGGAAAGGTCGCCTCCCCCAATATGCACGAGATTAACTCGTCGAGCTCCAAGAGAAGTTTGACCACCTAGAGCAACTCGGAGTCTTCCGTCGCCCCGAAGATGTTGGTATCACTGTTGAATACCTAAATCCTTCTTTCCTGGTAAAGAAGCCCAATGGCGGCTCTCGTCTCGTCACTGCTTTCGCTGACGTAGGCAGATACAGTAAGCCTCAACCATCTTTGCTGCCTGATGTTGACTCCACCCTACGACTCATCGCCCAGTGGTCACACATCATTGTCACCGACCTAACAAGTGCCTTTTATCAAATCCCTTTGGCCAAAGAGTCCATGAAGTACTGCGGCGTTGCCACTCCTTTTAAAGGAGTATGAGTCTACGTTCGTTCCGCTATGGGCATGCCCGGTTCGGAAACCGCCCTGGAAGAGGTTATGTCCCACGTCCTAGGCCCCTTACTACAAGATGGATCCGTGGCCAAAATTGCGGATGATCTATACTGTGGTGGCAACACACCCCAAGAGTTATTATGCAACTGGAGGAAGGTCCTACAAGCCCCACACAAGTGTAACCTACGTTTGTCTGCCCACAAGACCATTATCAGTCCCAAGAGCACCACTATTCTTGGCTGCATCTGGACTGTTGGCTCTCTCTCCGCCAGTCCCCACC